ACACCATTTAAGATGACGTATGGTTTTGAAGCTATGTTGCCGGTTGAAGTCGGAGAGCCAACCTGGAGAAGGAAAATGATATTAGAAGAAAATGAAGACGGGAATGCTGAGATGATGAAAATTGATTTACAATTGTTAGAAGAAGAACGAGAAAAGGTGGCAATGGTTGAGTTGGCATCTAAGCAACGAGCAGCAATGAGGTACAATCGGACTGTAGTCAAAAGGACGTTTCAGGAAGGAGATTTGGTGCTTAGGCGGGCAGACGTGGGTAATAAAAATGCAAGAGATGGAAAAATGGCAGCTAATTGGGAAGGTCCTTATCGAGTAACAGTTGCCACAAAGACTGGAGCTTATCAGATAGAGCACTTGGATGGGAAACCAATTTCGCGATATTGGAATGCTGCCAAGTTAAAAAGGTACTTTAGTTGAAGAAATCCAGATTTAGTTGGAAGTCGGATGGCAGATCGTAGGTCGTAAATTAGATGTAGTTTTATATTGATGATTAGGAAGTAAGTTTAGTTTGTTAATTTAGTAGGAGTATTTTATGTTATTATGTGTTGCATTTATTTTGCATTTAAGTATGGTATATTTGACATTGTGAGTTACAATATTTCAATTCAATAAAGCCAGTTCGACTTCAATACATATTATTAAGAAAAAACAAAGTCCCTTGCCGCCTTAATTGGCCTCTTGGGCAGCCGTGCAATTCCTACTCGAAAACGGGAAACAAAGTCCCTTGCTGCCTTAATTGGCCTCTTGGGCAGCCCTTCAATTCCTACTCGGAAACGGGAAAACAAAGTCCCTTGCCGCCTTAATTGGCCTCTTGGGCAGCCGTTCAATTCCTACTCGGAAACGGGAAAACAAAGTCCCTTGCCGCCTTAATTGGCCTCTTGGGCAGCCGTTTAATTCCTACTCGGAAACGGGAAAACAAAGTCCCTTGCCGCCTTAATTGGCCTCTTGGGCAGCCGTTTAATTCCTACTCGGAAACGGTTAAGCAAAGGCAGAATGATGCGTAGACAAAGTGACGTACATTTAAGTAATGAGGCAGTGTAATTGTGCCGAGAAGAATAAGCAAGTATTAGGATCACATAGTTATCAAATTCAAAGGAAAACAATAAGCAAACTAAAACACATCATTCTACTTCATGATTACGAGTGCAAAATATTGAAAAAAACAAGTAGCTTGGAAGTACAGGATTACAATAGTTATAATAGAAAAGTTGAGTACAAAATAAAGTGGTGTCCAGCTTTTTTAAGTAGTCTTAGGAACAGTATTTGAGGCAGCAGGGTCGGAAGTAAGAGTAAATCCCAGATAATCAGAGGGGTTTTCAGCAAGTACAACAATGGAGCCTTTTTCGTCATGAGTATATAGTCGGTCATTATCAATAAAATTGAAAGTTTCTATTTTGCTCAAATGAGGCAAGGGAGAGTCTGGATGGAAAATTTTCACTTGATCCACAACCCAGCCACGAATTTGATGACCGAAGGCAACATACTTAGAATCCATGTCATCAGCAGCCTGTTGTAAAGCTAGGACATTTTTCTTCAGAGTATCCACTTCTAGCTTTAACTCAGCTACCCGGAGGTCAGAATCTTCAAAGTTTTTTGTCAACACCTGGTGTTTGTCAGTCAACACTTGATGCTCTTTTTTGAGGGTAGCAAGTTCCTCATTGCTTTTCTTACTTGATTCTTCGTTTTCTTTGAGTTTAATTTGGAAGCCCTGAGCAACAAACTCGGCAGCTTCGGCCTTTTGAAGGGGCTTTGCTTTTTATGTTTGAAACTTTTCTTTTAAAAGTCGTGACTCTTTCAGCTCAGTTAGAATTTGTTGGCGTTCAGCTAAAGCGAGAAGGGCCATTTCGTAGTAGTGCGCCTCCCGGAGAGAGTGATCCCGGATGTCGGTGAATTTGGCAATAAGTTGATCTAAATAGAATTTGTCCCATTTTTCCCGGAGCCCGGGAGTAAAGCACGACTTCAATTTTTTCATAAAAGGGGGATCTGAGCGAGGGGTAGCCATGACAGAAGAAGGTGGAGTTGAAGACTTTTCAACAGAAGAGTCAGGACTAGGTTCGTTAATTCGAACTCGTTTTCTTCGAAGGAGCCCGCTCGAATCAATTGGGGCCTCCGCGTCCATTATAACAGTATCATCCGGGATAGAACCTGTAGCGGAAGTAGCTGGCATAGGAGAACGAGTTGGAGAGATGTCCTTTCCACCTGAAGCAGATGAATCGTCTTTACGGGTAGCCTTTTGCTTTTGGCGGGCAAAAAAAGTAGGGTCCATGACTTTATCTGGAAACCACAGATACAAAGAAAATATATTTGAGGTTAAAAGCAATATACAGATAAAAACATATTAGAATTATTTAAGTTACTTACTTAATTTCCTGCAAATCTAGTCAGAAGAATCTTTATAAGTTAGAATAGACCGAGGAATGAGGGAAATATTTTCCTTAGCTAATTCGGAGACAAGCTTTTTGAACCAAGTATAAGTTTCAGTTTCGTCTGGGCTCAAATTCTTTGAATTCGTCAAGAATGCTTTGGCAGAAGTTGTGTAATGATGACGGTTCCAACTGAGAGGAAAGCGCGGAGCTCCGTTGTGATCCAAAAAGAAAGCAGAAGGAGGGGCAGGTTGAGAAGAGGAGGAAGAGGCAGAAGGTGTAGCAGGAAGAGCTTCAGGAATACAGATTTTGAAGTATTCTCCTTTGAAATTTTTCCAGTTATCTTCATATATAGAACACCAACGTAACCCGGGTCGAGCTTTTAAGGATACCCAACTATGACGAGTACATCCTTTAGAAAAAGACCCGAAAGGAATAGGGGAATCCAAACGAACGACAGATTATCTCGAAGATATGTAAAAAACACCAACTGTTAGGATGTAGTTGAGAAGGAGCGACTTGCAAGTGATTTAAGACGTCCATTTGGAACTCGGAGAAAGGTAAAGGTATGAAAAGTTCAGAAAATAAACATTTGTAGGCAAAGAAGAAAGAGTTCTCACCTTGCCCGGAAGGCGAACACATATGTTCTTCTTCTCCAGGTACTGCAACTCGGAAAGAAGTGATAATTGAGTCACGAAATAGAGGTACAGTTTGTAAGGCAGTATGGAGGGAACTCGACTGGTTTTCATAAGAGGAACAAAGCCTTAAAGCCTCTTCCTCAACCCATTCTAAACCTTCAACAATAGAAGGTAGTGCGAAGCGAGAAAAGGGAAGCGAACGGTACGGACGATTCCTCGGCATGGCCTGGACGGAAAGGTACCAATAAAATCTATTTTAGAAGATATAGTGCAAGATAAAATGTATATAACGCAAAATGTGTTCCTAACCCGTCCAGAACACGATAGGGTGGTTAAAGAAAACCAAAGAAGAGGAAGAGATAAATATCAGGAAAGTATGGAGTAAAGGAAAGAGATAAGGGATAAGATGATACGTTCTGGGCAAAGGTTTGTTAATGAAATAGATGACAAGATAAGCATTAATATGCACAAATAATGCCAGAAATCAACCACGATGTAATACAAGAAATAGAAGAACTTACTTGTATAAGGTGCGGGGGGGGCTTCAAACAGGTGGTAAAAGAATGGTGGCAAGATCCACGCAGAAAAAGCAACGAAACAGAAAGGGAGAAAAACCAGGAAGAATAGCAAGAAAAGCGAAATGTCAAGAGGAAGAAGAAGAAGAAAAATGCAAAAAATGAAAAGACGCAAACGGTAATATAAGGGTAGATTGGGGTAAGTGACATTTCCGATTTTCAAAAGTAATGATAGATGTCAGGATGAGTTGTTTCAGATGTCAAGTCGTTTCGAAGATCAAGGTAATCAGAGAGTGACAAGTGGCTATTGGAAGCTGAATAGACAGGGAGTATTTAATAAGGATACTGACGTAAGGAAAAAGTAAAGGGCATAATAAGTGAAACCTTAAGAGTTAAACTCGGAGTAAAAATCCATTTAACTCCGACTTTGGGGGCTTAATGTTCCGGGTTCATACATTGAGCCATACTTGCTTATAAGAGTAAAAGACACGGAACCCGGATATACTTTACCCGGATAGGCGGTTAGTCATGTCAGTGAGTATTACACGTAGGGGAGTTAGCAGTTGATTGAGTCAACCAGTATTACAAGTAGTGGAGTTATAAGTGGGCCTACCACGATGCCACGATGGTACCCACCACTTCCATAATAAAGGTAACTGTTCAGAAGCTAGCCCCATATATACACCAAGGATAGAGATAACACATGCAGATAACCAGAATATAGATCCATATTAATGTTCATTCAGAACATGTGTCAAACTTTTAAATTTGACATCAATCCCAAAGGATTCTGCCCCATACATATTAAAAAAAATTAAGATCCGGGCCTTGTCCATTCTTTATTAAAAAAAATGATATTATTATGAGACAAAAACTAAGGTGTTTTTGTAATTATAATTTATCTAAGGTTATAATAATTTTTAATTTTTTAATCTTTTATCGTAAAATGACATTATTTTTAGAGTGAATGTAAATAATTTATCTGTATTCTTTGTAGACACATTAAAGGCTTTAATGATTATAATGAAAAATAATTTAATAATGAACATTTAAAAACTTTATCTAATGTTTATCGAAACGATGTTATTTTGGAGTTGAAAGATTAAAAAATTAAAATGATAAAAACTATTAAAACTATGAAATAAATTAAAATTACAAATACATTATGATTTTCGTTTAAAAACTATATCATTTTGAATCAACATTAGACAATTTTTTTTAAAGTAAGATTAAAAAAAAAAACCCTTTAATAATAATAAAAAAATCTCCCTTAAAATTTTGTCTTGTAACATAAATAAATAAATAAAAGAAAATGAGGGTAATCCTAAAATGGTAAGAACAAAAAGAAAACGAGGACATAATAGCAATTCCAGGGTCTGTCTGCATGTGCAGCACGCGACGGTTCGTTTTCTTACGATTTCCCTCTATTTTTCCCCATTTCTTGCGCGTTTACTCTCTCTGTCTATGGCAACTCTTCTTCTTGAGAGAGAGAGAGAGAGAGAGAGAGAGAGATAGAGAGAGAGAGTGACGTTTGAGGACACCGTTGACCTCAGCCACCACCACAGCCATGACGGCATCTGAGAAACCCAATCCAGAACTTCCAACCGTTCCTTCCAAAATCAGAGAAGAAGGCGAGCTCTCTTCCGACGACGAGGACGACGCCGACGTATTTTTCTTTAACGAAACCCTAGTTTTTTTTTTTTTTTTTGATTTCTGCTATTTTTTGCTTTTTCGTTCCCTTTTTTTCTTTTTAACATTCGTTGACTCCTGTTCTGCTCTTTCTTCTGCTGCTGCACCGCTGTTTGTTCTGTTTGTCTGCGAAGATAATCGAGGAATTTTAGGAGTCCGATTATTTGGTTTCGTATGTTGCATGTTGACTTCAGTTGTTAATCTTAGCTAGTTCGTGATTTTATGTGATTGCTGTAGATCTGAGAGATTCAAGAGAACAACACTTAGTTCTGTTTAGCTTCTATTTGTAAGCACGGCAGAGTAGGGGGTTATGTTTATTTATTTATTTGGCCAAAACGGTAGAAATAGAAAATGAGAGTGTATCAAAATTTTAAAGCATGTGGGAGAAGCGTAATCAATGTGTCGTTCTTACTAATTCAACTTGATTGCTTTTTTTTTTTTAATTGTTTTTAATGTTTATGGATTTGTTAATGGGTAATCTCTGTCCACCAGGAAAACCCCGATAGCTCTGCTGTGCAATCCACTCCTGCTTTGCAATCCACCCCTGCTGTGCAATCCACCCCGGCTGTTGAGTCTATTTCTGTTCCCGCGGAGCAAAAATGTACCCAAAGCGATCAGGGTGGTAAGTCTTGCTAACTGTCAATTAAAGGAAAGCTTGGCCCTGTTTGAATACTGTTTTTTGGTTTTCAGAACAGAAAAAAAAATACCCAAACCTGTTTTGTACAAAAAAAGTTCTATAAATTGTAACTGTTTTTTGTTTTTGTTTTTAGAATCAAATTTAGAGAACATGTCTGAGTTATTTTTGTTTTTTGTTTTGACTTTTAACTTTAAAAACAAAAGAAACACAGAAAACTCCTGTTTCCTTAACTATTCTACAAAACAGTTTTAAGAACAAAAAATTAGAACACAATCAAAGTATCAAACAGACCCTTTGCCTTTTGGTTTCTCTGGGTACGAATCCCTCTTATTGAGCATCACTCTTCTGGCACCATCTTGAGCTCTGTATTTTTTTCTGACTTGTCCAGGGCTTATTTCCAACAATACTCCAATTATTTTGTCAATAATTTTAGTCAGGTTTATGGGATTAGAAACTTCATCTTAACTGTTGCAAGATCAGGACATCTGTTTATCTGATGATTATACACACACATACGTACACATATGTATATGTGTGGTGCTCTAATTTTATTTAATGGTATAAGACTGCTTGAATATAATTTCTTTTAAATTTGTCTTGGTGCTTGTTCTTACATCAAGGAAGATATTTGAATTCACTGTGTATATCATCTTCCAAAAGGCATTTTAATGGCAAGTACAATATCTGGAGGGTAAGGTTTTGTGACAATATTTTACAGGTTCCAATAATATACTGTTGCAAACCATCGGAAAACCAACTTGTCAGAAGAGCTTAAAAAAGAACCAATTACCCCCTAAATCTTCTCCATGGACTGGTCATGCAGGCACTGATAAAAATCTTGTGATAAGCTTCTCTGATGATGACAGTGGTAGTGAATTTGAAACTAAAGGTAATGCTTCCAGGTTGGATAGCGATACAAAGCAACCTATCTCATCCTTGGAAAAATCAAACAAGTTACAGTTACAGCAAAATGCTAGAAGTTTACACAAGGCATTGCCCAAGAGATCATCTTTAAATCGCACATTTATCTCGTCAGTGACCAAAATTCCTGGTTCCAATTCTAAGGGTGCTGGATCTACATCACTAGGACAAGGTTCACGAGCTAGAAATTTCAATCCAATGAAAAAGAATTTAGCAAGTCAAGAGCGTGGACGTGATCAAGGAGTGGTACCGAATGACAGTAAACTTCAGGATTTGCGGCATCAGATTGCACTTCGGGAAAGTGAACTGAAGTTGAAGGCAGCCCAGCAAAATAAGGAGTTTGCCTCCGTTTTGGGTAGGGACCATAATGCCATGATTCTGAAGAATGACACAGCTAGGAAACATACTCTACTTTCCTCAGAGGCTGCACAATTGGAGCCAAAGGAACCAGATAGGAAACGTATGAAACTTGGCACATCTTATGGTATCCCTCAAGCTGTTGGCAGTCAGCAAGAAGTTCCTGCTGTGAAATCTATATTACCATCAAAAGATTCTGCATGGGAAAACTGTAATCCTCAGGAGAGAAACAAGGTTGATCGTAGCCAAAAAGAGATTCCGTTATGTAGAGGGGAGTCAACAACTATTATATCACAAAGGCAACCTGACAAACATCTTGACAATTCTTCTCAAAATATCCCTTGTAGATCAAGAGACGGTAAATACTTTGCTTTTGGCCATCTATATCTTAGACATTTTTGGTCTAGAAGTGACTTGGAAACTTTGTTGTACTTTTCTGAATTTTATAAATTACAACAAGTTTGAATCAAGTTACTTGTACTCTCAATTGATAACCCATTAGCTTTTATTATGTGGTATTCTCATTTCTCTTTTTTCCTGATCACAAGTTTATGTGAGGCTGCTTTCAAGTGCCGCGGAAAATTTGATGCTATCTTTTTTGGTCTAAATGTAAACTTATATTGTCATATTGTAAGAATATGTATATTATCTAATCTTACAATACTGTTTTGATTTAAATGATTTGGATAAGTATATCAAAGCTGTTGACTGATCACAACCTAACCCAAATACTAGCCAGTTAAAAATGTTTAGGTCCTTTTATGGTTAGAATCTCTCATGGTCTGATTATACTCTGCAGGTGATATCAATTATGTTTGCAATCAGACTGAGAAGAGTAGTGGGCTGGTTGACCCTTGTATTGCTTTCAATCAAAGTGCAGTGCCAACAAATATGACTCCCAATAGTGTGCCAAAAGATTTAGTGAGTTATAGTTTGCTATACATGACAGTTGCTTTTACTTGCTGTCTTCATTGAAACTATGCCTGTGCCTTTTCTGTTTAATAACAATTATGTTTGCAATCAGACTGAAAAGAGTAGTGGGCTGGTTGACCCTTGCATTGCTTTCAACCCAAGTGCAGTGCCAACAAATATGACTTCCAATAATGTGCCAAATGATTTAGTGAGTTATAGTTTGCGATACACGACAGTTGCTTTTACTTGCTGTCTTCACTGAAACTATGCCTGTGCCTTTTCTGTTTAATAACTCACCATAAGTTATAATTTGCTATACATGACATTTGCTTTTACTTGGCGACTTAACTGAAAACTCTGCCTATGCCTTTTCTGTTTATTAATTCAACATCAACAGCAACAACATCTTTATCCTAAACTAGTTGGGATCAATGGCAGATGAACCCAAATGAAAAGTACAGAAAAAATTGAGGAAGAAAGAGAAATAAAAGAAAAAGAAAAAAGAAGAAAGGAGAGGTAAAGAAGCAAATAGAAGGAGATATAGGGATAAAGGATTAAAAAGGGACCATTTGAAACATATGAAGAAAAATGGGTTCAAGCCTCCACAATGTTAATCGCTTTCCACTCCTCCAAACCTCCCTAAGACAACTTCTACCAATCCATATCCCACTCCATTAAGTCTTATTTTACTACCTTCCCTCAAGTAAGATTTGGTCATCCTCTTCCTCTTTTTATGTCAAGCTCTTGGTAACAAAATTTCGTTCTAACAAAAGCATCTAGGGGTCTTCGCATTATATGCCCAAACCACCTCAATCTATGTTTTTTCAACCACCGGTCCTACTTTTGGTTGAATATCTTCATTTCTTATCTTATTCATCCTTGTATGATTCCACATCCACCTTAATATCCTCATTTCCGCTACTCCCATTTTATGTTCATATTGTCTATCTGCTGGCCAACATTCAACTCTATATAACATTGCAGGTCTAACTGCTCCTTTTAACCTAAGGGGAAGTCACACAAAAACCCTAATACACTACACCATTTCATCCACCCTGTTCTAATTTTATGATTTATATCGTCATCATTTCTCCACCCTTTTGCAAAATTGAACCCAGATCTCTGATTCTGTTTACTAGTGGGAGCTTTATAGCACCAGGCTGCCTTTTAACTAACCATAGTAAATCTTTCTTTTATTTGAAAAGTTTATCATTTTGAAGTCTTTTAAATTTTTTTGAATACTGATCTATTTAATTTAGTATGGCATATAATGGTCTGACTCTTTTTCTCTTACTTGATTTATAGGAGATACGGGCCTTTTTAATTTGAAATCAGTTTGCCCCTCTTCATTGTTGTTTTTAAAAGTGTAGGTACCAATTGGTCATAGATCAGCCAAGTTAAACTTTTGACAATATAAACAGCAATGTTTCTAGTATAATTTTGAATTTCTTGATAGAGAAAATCGTTCCTGCATCGACTGCAGAAAGCTTTCAGCCACCGTACTCACATCGTTTTTCATTTTTTTCATTTTTTTTAAAATAAATTTGTGGGTCCCGGTTTTTTGGTCTGTGTGGCAGACAATTTGTTTTCTGCCACTACTGCAGAAAACTTAAGCCCTTCTTGATATCATGTTGTTCCTGTTTTCTTTAACTTTGCATAATAGTGTAGGGTTGATGCATTCATCAAGTTCCTCCCTGAATAAAGTACTAACAATAAACAATTGAAAAGAGGCCTTTAGTATATCTTAACATTATAATGTTCCTGTTTTTTCATGTTATTGACTCTCTACTTACTCCCTCCTCTCGTCTCATTTAGGAAGCATTAAGCAATGCAGTTCTTTTGAATCATAATGGTAATCCAAATGTCTTGGAGCCTAGCAACATAGATTTTCAGTCATTTTATAGTATGGAGGAATTGATAGACAAGGAACTGGAGGAAGCTCAAGAGCACAGACACAAGTGTGAAATTGCAGAAAGAAATGCACTTAAAGCTTATCTTAAAGCTCAGAGGTCTTTGCTTGAAGCTAATGCTCAATGCAACAATCTTTATCATAAAAGGGAATTGTATTCAGCAAAGTTACGATCTTTAATTTCAAACAATTCCAGCTTTTCTTGGTCTTCAGGGCAGCGCCAACATCTTGATATAGGGCTGGATTACTTACCTAGACATGCATATGAAATACCCACATCAAGCTTTCAGCGGCAGGCTGAATATAATGATATTATTAATCCATGTTTTGATTCTAATAATCGAGGCATCAATAATCGGCGTTCCAATACATCCTATCACCATATGACTGGAGCAAATTTAGGGTCTGAACCTTGCGGTGAACCAGATTCCAGTACATCAGAGCCATTACCTCAAAGGGGTAATAATGCTGCAGATGGAGTTTATTCTCTTTCAGATGAATTAGACACATCAACTAATGAAAATGAAGAGATTTCTCCAGCGGGACATGTGTCTAATCATCTTGATGCTGAATATCATAGAAAACAGGACCCTAAGGTCAAACCAATGGACATAGATACTGCGTCAAATGCAAAATTTTCCACTGACAGTACCCAGGATTCTTTGCAACTTGAAGCAACACTAAGGTCTGAATTATTTGCACGATTAAAGACACGAGCTATAAAGAGTAGCAATCCATGTAATAACGTAGAGCCTCCTGCTGAACGAGGAGCTGGAAATGAAGTTGGAAGTGAGAAAAGCCAGGAGCACCACAGTGTCATACCACTATCGGGGTTGGAAGATAATGATCTTAAAGGTACTTTTTTTTCTTCTAATGAACATGCTGTGGTGCTTTTTTTTTCTTATATAGATATGACTGCTAAATCTGTAATGCTGATTCTGAATCCTGACTTAGCGCACTGTGTAATGCTCTTATCTCAGTCAATATTGGGTTTTAGTATAATTTGTTTCCTTTATTGAATCCATGAGATGGTTTGTGTGGTGCAAAGAAATTGTTGATAAGGTGTCTGCCTATTGTAGAGAAACTTATTATAACTTGGTGCAACTGTTTTATGATGGCACTCCAGATGCATAGGCTATGATTTTATCTGAAATTCAAAGGTGTGCTCATAACAAGATTTTGAATTTTTTTTGTTTTCCTTAATTAAATATAGAAATCAAAGTTCATATATTCCCCAAATGCATAAAAAATAAGGCTGAAAAATAATGATACAAGGACTTTCAAATGTTGATATATTTTTCTAAAAATTCTAGGCGTATTATGTTGTCAATTGCAGTGTAGCAACCTATTAGCACATTTAGGTATTGCCAACTAATAGATCTCGGTGCAATGCTTCTTTGTCTTTAATTATGAGGAATCATGACTTGAAATTAGTTATACTTAAGTGCTGATCAACTTTCAAGTTTATCCCTTGTATTCCTGATTATTTTGTTCTATAACTCTAGGCATTGAGAGGCATAAAAGGAGTATCTATCTGGATTCCAATGAGATTCAAAGTCAGCAAAACATTGGTGGAAATTCTTTGAATTCCAACTGCAGTGCTGGTTCAGGAGATCAAGGAGATATGCCTAATGCAGTGAACATCCCTACTTTGATTTTAAGGAGTGCATTTAGTGAGCTAAGAAAAGTTTCTCCATTCAATTCAAATCAATTACAGGGTAAAGATGAGCTTATTCATGCCAATGATGGTCAAAATAAAAATGCAACATGCCTCATATCTGATCAAACAAAGTCGGGCAATATGTTAGCAATCTCCATGCCTGTCACTGTTGGGAATTTACTCTCAGGTGAAAGCTCTTATAGTTGTGGTACTGCAGTTGATCCATTTTGGCCACTTTGCATGTATGAACTCCGAGGAAAATGCAACAATGATGAGTGTCCTTGGCAGCATGTTAAGGACTATGGTGATGGAAACATTCATCAGCATAAGCACACTGCTTCTAATAATGCAGGTATAAAAGATTAGTGACAGTTTGATACCTACATGTTTTGCCTTAACTTGCTATGTGAGGGAACTTTCTGAAAATATCTATCTGATGATTGTCATCTGTATTTTTTGGGTAATTTCTGAAGCTGGACTATATATTGGTAGCGTGTAGGAGATAAGTGGGTTAATAGAGGATGAGTGGATGATACTATGTAGAAGAGGATGCATCTGGGAGAGAGTATATTTCTATTTTATCACTGGAGTTAGTGTTTAGGAGTAAATAATAGTTTATATCTTGATTGAAGTATGTCAGGTTTTGGATTAGGGTATGTCAAATTAGAAGGCTCGAATGATTGAATTTTTTTTTTAAAGGAGGATGGCGGGTGGGTAGGGGATATATATCATTTATAGGCTTACTAGAGCATTTAATTCCAGAGCTGTGCCAGAAATAGTAAATTTTCTCATGGGAAATTGGGTTAAGTCAATGTTCCATTGGAATTAGATGCGTGCTACAGATCTTTATTGAGACTAATATTTGTAAGTTGTTACTACCAGTCTTAGTGAGGTTGATGCTGCTCAGGAATGTTCTTAAAGGGGGTTGAATGGAATGGGGAAATATAAGAATCGGTTAGATTGATATGTGGGCTAAATGGGTTTATGTGGTAGGAGTCAGCCTTGATAGATAGAGATTTTATATTATTAGAATTCTTATCCTAAGTTGAAAAAGAAACACCTGAAGATATATTCTGAATCGCTTTACTGAATACTGTTGAAATTACCTTGAGAATCTCTATTTATAGACCCAATATGTTTCTAGAACTTACTGCTGGACCCTTAAGTGGCTTAATTAATGACTTTTGGATTTGCTATTATTACTTAGACTTCTAATTACGAGATTGGACTTTTCTAGGCATACTGCACTTATCAAATACATAGATGAACGACTCAAGTAGCTAAAATATCCAAGGCATTTGCTAATTAGCACCCTGAGAGCACTGTTTTATAAGCATTTAATAGTTTCCATTAACAGTATCTAATGAATAAATCCTCCTAATTTAAAACGAAAATATTAAATGCTTTTTTGGCTTCCTTCTATTTTTTAGTTTAATACTTTCTATTTTGTTACTTAACTACTGCAAGCACCCAATATCTAATACTCTTAAGTAATACAGATTTCAGATTCAACTACAGAACTACTAAATCTCTTAATGGAGTAATTGATACATAAAGATAGCTTCTTTATTCTTCATCAGAAATGAAGAACAATGTAGTGAAAATTATAATTCTCTTACAGTCAGAATACAATAATTGAATTGACACTTCATAAGATCTTCTATTTCTGTAGCACTATTATCGACTATTAGATATTGCAGATATTAATATTTAATATATGGAATACAATTACAAATTCTGAAGTATGATTTTATTTTGATATCAGCCACTTTCTAAATTTGTTAAAGTATTTTTTGATATATTTGTTAATATAATTTTCTTTTCTAAAGACACTGTTATAAACTGTATGAGCAGATTGTCAAGGTAGATTAGCATTGCATCAACAAAATTGTAATGGTGTGACAAAAGTTCCCAAGTTTCACAAAGCTACTATTATGCCAACTTACCTTGTTGGTTTAGATGTTCTGAAAGCGGATCAATTTGCATATAAACCTGTCATGGGACATAGAAATACTCAGTGCTGGCAGAAGCATTTCAGTATTACTTTAGCTACTTCAAATCTGCTTCGAAATGGTTTATCCACTGATGATCCACTATTACATGGTGACGATGAACGCATAGAGGTCCATGGGGCATGGAGCAATCAGTTATCTTATTTTCAGTGGAGAAGTGGAGCTGGGGTTTGTTGCTTCTAACTACCATTTTTATTTTCCTGGTTTATTACACTTCTATTGGTTTTCAACTTATCGAATATTATCTCTTTAATTATGGTTCAGGTCTAAGGTTATATCACCTGTTGATGCCCAAGTGCTCAAAATGGGTCAATTGTAATTATATTTTGTTTATGATTTTATTTTAATTTTCATAGGGATTATTTTTGACATTTTATTTGGTTATTTTAGATGATTTTAAGGTAGTTATAAGGTATACTAAACGGAGTCGTAGAAGAATGCTTGCTTGCCAATCAAGTTTTATTATGCCTGGGGAGGGACCTACTATTTGTAAAACGAGATGAAACTTTTATTCTGAGCAATCTATAGTATTCGAAGAACTTTTCCTTTTGTTATGGTAAAATACGAAGTTTCTGCCGGAACATTATCTAGTCCTTTCTTACTCCTTTCTCATCCCTTTAGCATGTCTGTCTCCCGTCACAGATTTTGCTTTTGATTCTTTTGATTCTTTTGATGATATTCCATTGTTTTAAATATAACATTCTTATATTTTGTGTACTTGGGCATATTAGTGCATGCACGTATATTAATAATGGCAATGGTTGTGTAACTTAATGAACTTACCAGGGAGTTCCCGTCATATTCTAGGAACATCAAAAAGTTAGTCTTGTGAACTTCGAAGTGCAAATTATTTGTCGTATATGAGGAGAACTTATTTTGAGTTTTAATGAGAACTTTTTGTTTTCATATTGGCTATAATGTGAATTTGACAATTATCCTGGTCAACACCTTTTGATTAATCTGGCTTTGATTCAGTTATTAACCAACGCAATATAGTTTGAATTTGAATTCCTTTGTTCATACTAACTTCCTCTTTATTTATTGCATACATAGAATCAAATTAAGCAGGCTATGGCTGATAGTGAACAAGCTGTCGAGTTGGCTCTTCTTATTTTTAACCAGGAAATGAATAAATTACAGGGTGTAAAAAAGGTAACAGTTGTTTATGCATTGACTGTCTTGATGGTTGGTGTTGGAATTTGCTCATGTATTTTTTTACCTCTTTATCAAAATTTGGATTTTTCAGGCTCTATCTGTACTGTCAAAAGCTCTGGAGACTGATCCAACATCTGTGGTTCTCTGGATTGTTTATCTGCTAATTTACTATGGAATTTTGATGCCAAATGAAAAGGATGACATGTTCTTGTGTGCGGTATGTATTTATTTGTTTCCTACTTTTATGTTGAGTGTGCTCTGGAGAATATTTTTTTCTTCTGATATGGGGAATTGGGAAATTTTGAGATATAGTGACTCTTGGAGTACTATTAATGTTCTCAGGAAAATCTACTGATAGACATCTTGTTTATTTATTTTCCTGACTCCTGATAAAGTTGTAGGCAGTAGCTTTATAAATCACCTGTCAGGCCTTTTGTATGGTTTGTGTTATATGTAATCATGTCTTTCGGAGTTGATTCTATTTCCACATAGAAGTGAACTAAACACTAATCCAAAATATCAAGCTCACACCACTTAATGTATCATAAGGAACTTTTAGCTGTACAGCAACCCATTGATACCCATCATTTTGAAATTGTACATTGTGAGAACCTGTCTATCATTTTGTGAAAGGCTGGTTGTTGGCTAGCTAGTCAAGTAGTGATGGGTGAATGAATGAGGTAAAATCCTTAAAAACGAATGATATTGGTGGGAAAGTGGTACATATGTTTTTCTTTGGGCTTTTGTCCACGTAAATAAGAGAGAATCCAATGCAATGCTTGTTTCCTTATTTTGTTTGAGAAGAAGAGCTTTTTGTCATATATCTGACTTTAGTTCCTTTTTAAATTTTTATTAGCATGTTAAGCCTTCCTTTTGAAAACAGAACATGTGTTTTCTCTGGAAACACTCAACTATTGTTTTCCAGGTTAAGCTCTGTGAAGGATCTTATGTACTGTGGCTCATGTACATCAACAGTCGGCAAAAGCTTCATGATCGGTTGGTTGCCTATGATACTGCCCTCTCAGTGCTCTGTCAGAATGCATCTGCTGCTCCCAAGGACAGAATGCATGAAAGTGCATGCATCTTAGACTTGTTTCTGCAGATGATTGATTGCTTATGCATGTCAGGGAATGTTGAGAAGGCCATTGAAAGAAGTTATGGCATACTCCCTGATACAACTATATCGGATGAGCCTTATCATCTGTCGCTCTCAGATATACTCAATTGCTTAACTCTTTCTGACAAATGTGTGTTCTGGGTTTGTTGCATTTACTTAGTTATTTACAGGAAACTGCCTGATGCTGTAGTGCAGAAGTTTGAATGTGAGAAGGATATCCTTGATATTGAATGGCCCTTTGTCTGTTTATCAGAAGATGGCAAGGAGATGGCTGTTAAACTTTTGGAAACAGCTATTGAATCTATTGACTCTTATGTCTATGATGAATTAGTGAAAAGTGAAGTAAATCTCAGTTCTGTTCAACTTTTTGCTCTCAATCATATTAGATGTATGGTTGCTCTTGATAGCCCAGTATGCTTAAGGAATTTGTTGGATAAATATGTTAAGTTGTACCCTTCCTGCATAGAATTGGTCCTGGCATCAGCTCGAATACAGAAACAGGAGATTGGTGTTGGCAGTTTCATGGGATTTGAGGAAGCCATTAGCATATGGCCAAAAGAAGTTCCTGGAATCCAGTGCATCTGGAATCAATATATTGAAAATGCCATCCGGAATCAAAGAATGGATCTTGCAAAAGAAATTGCAGTACGATGGTTCCACTCTGTCTGGCAAGTACAGCATCTCCCAAATGGAGGGATGCATGCCACTGATGGTGGTAATTCTTGTAGCTCATTGGGATTAAATTCAAAATCTGTTTCAGACACATCAAGTTCTGATAATAAACACATGGATATGATATTTGGATTTCTTAATCTGTCTCTTTATAAACTTTTCCAGAATGATAAAACAGAAGCATGCATAGCAGTTGACAAGGCTAGGAATATTGCCAGTTTTGGAGTTTTAGAGCAGCCGATGAGAAAACATGTAATGTTTCTGGTTTGTGATGCTTCGAGCATAAAGGAGGATGGTCCTAATGGTGCTATTAAGAAGATTTTGGAGGTATATATGGATGGTTCCTCTCACGCGTTGCAAGTCCCTGAGGTGCTAACAAGAAAATTTGTTGACAACATCAAGAAGCCAAGAATACAGCATCTTATTGGTAACATATTAATTCCAGTTTCATTTGATTGTTCGCTGCTAAACTTGATACTTCAATCATGGTTTGGTTCATCTCTTTTACCCCAAACTGTTAGTAACCCAAAACATCTGGTGGATTTTGTTGAAGCCATTATGGAGGTAGTTCCTTATAACTTTCAATTAGCTATTAGTGTTTGCAAGCAATTAAGCAAGGGCTACAATCCTTTTGACCTAAACTCAGCCAGTCTATGGTTTTGGGCTTGTTCAACCCTGGTAAATGCAATATTGGATGCCATCCCAATACCACCAGAATATGTCTGGGTTGAAGCTGCAGGGTTTTTGCACAGTACTACAGGCATTGAGGCAATATCTGAGAGGTTTTATAGAAGGGCTGTATCGGTATATCCCTTTTCTGTAATGTTGTGGAAATGCTTCTATAAGCTGTATGAGTCCATTGGAGAAGCAAATTCTGTTCTTGAAGCAGCAAAAGAAAGGGGCATTAAACTCGATTAACTATATAGATTTGGTAATTGATTGAGTGTTAGATTGATAGGATCAAAACAATTACTCAGGGTGACTTGCGGCCTCAACAGGTAGGTGATATTTTCATCTACGATAGACTTTCCACATTTGGAAGCAGTTCTGTTGACACAGAAGTTTCAGGTGTTTGAGAGTTTAACTTGCGTCAAACTTGTACAGGAAAGTGAATCGAAGGTAATGACTTGTTAAGTGCGGGGAGTAGGTTATGTAGGTGGTGCTCGTGAAACTTTAGGATTAGTGGATTTTCCCTGCTTTTGCCGTCTCCATTTTTTGTTTTCCGTTTCCCCCCCCCCCCCCCACACACACACTCACTCACACTGACACTGACACACTGCTATGTCATATATGGAGGTGTCACACACACACACACACACACACACACACACACTGCTATGTCATATATGGAGGTGTCATATATTTGACATTATATTTTCGTACGTTGTAAACTGAAACAGATGGAATGAAAGTATTTTCTTGTCTGCCTACCTACAGATTTGTGGTTAGTGTTAGTCTTCCACTTCATTGTCTTCATATTCATGTTGTCCAAACTAATACACAGTACATGTTCATCATTACCTTCTATGAGAAGCTTCAGATAAAACACTAGTATTATTCAATTATTTCTTTTTCTCAAGGTAATTTATCTTTTTTCTTTTTGATAAAAATGTTAGTAAACATGGTGGGTTTTGTGGTGGACCAGTGCACCACTAAATTATACCAGGGATTGTAGGTAAAGGCATTATATGCGGTGGACTACATACATAAGACAATAGTTTTTAAATCAACGGTTCTGATTAATGACCTGGAAATTTTTTAGGTGAGAATAGTTTGAAGATTGCAAACTGATCCTTCTCTTACAAACGGAGCTAGCTCTAGCTCACAGTAGTTTGTCTTTGAATCGTGATCGAATTTGTGCTGCCTCTGTAGGATTGATTAACAATCATGAGCTTTACATTTGCCTCTCTGTTACGGTTGCTAATGCAGTCGTTATGAAACCTACATCAAAAGAATCTCCTTGTCAAGTTACTTACAATAACAAATAATGAAGATCAGCATCGAGTTGGATGAATCCTGATTGTTGCGGTAAAAGATGTCATGTAGAATGTTCTAGCTCATATTGTTTCCCAGGTCAATTAAACTCCTCTTCGAGCTGTGGGATTGGCTCCTAATGCTTCAGGCTACATTCCAATTAATAAACAAAAATTTTGTCACGAAAGATAAAAAATCAAAAGAACTATTTTTTTAATAAGATGAAGTAATCAGTTAAAGTCAAATGTTTGAGATTAAATAAAATACTGCATAATTACGATTTGGAGCTTGCTTCCTTCTTTCTCTGCCTGTACCTACACGAGGAACATCTTCATCACCTTCAATTTCATTGGATGTATCAACTATTGCAGCCTGCTTCACGACGCATCCTTGCAATCTCTCTGCATAAACGAAGAGCTTCAGACATGCAGATTAAATGAATGCACCCGAGAAATTGGCTATGAGATGTCTAAGTAAGATTCAGTAGGGTAATTATAATTAACTCAATTTGACCTATTTTGACATTCGTAGAGCTTGAAAATATAAATTATTATTATTATTATTTTATTATTTTGGGTGTCTAGAGTAACAAATGCATAAAATTGAATATCAATATGGATTGACAACCCTTCCGTGGGTATTTCCTTTTGCTGTATCGATCTTATGCTTTCGTGGGTCCTGATATAAAGGAGAAATTAAATATATAGGAGCAAGAAGTGTGTACTTGGAAGCCAGGAGCTCATATGTACAACAGAATTTCGGTTATTGATATGGTCGAGATATTGGGTTAATGATTCAACCGATGGATCACCGATTGAATTGCATGACTTGAGTTAATATATAAAAACCTATATTTTATAAAGGAAAATTCATAAAATATTCAAATACATATAAAAAAAATTGTTATACTAGGCTGCAATTATATATAATTTTTGTAGGGACAAAAAAAGTCATATATGATAACCACATACAATATATAGTAAAAAAAATAAACAAAGAAAAAAGAAGATTCAACTATCAGGTACTGTTCCGCAAATTGTTTCATCCTGAAAGCTGAAATTTGAAGTCAATGTAAGATAATATACTATTAGCAAACAAAACTACAAAAGTTTCTAAAAGGAGTTTTACACTTTTCTCAGACAAGACGAGACAACTTTGGTTTATGATTTTCTTTTTTAAATGCATGACTCGCTGAGTTGCTGGTTTTCATGATCCAACCAGGTCACTGGTTTTGACCAGGTTCAATACGTGGCCGGTCCAATACTTGACTCGAACTAATCCGATGACTGATTCACTGAGTTCCGAGTTAACCCGGCCGATTTGAGCCGGGTCTGATAACAATGATCAAGACTGTTCTTCATCTTTTCCTTCTCTGAGTTATTCTCATTCTAGTAGTGCGAACATCATATTTTATCCTATCTTCTTTTTTCGACTCAAGAAAAGAACTTTCTTCCTCTTATAATTGATGAAATGGAGTAATCATATCAGGACAATTATCTTTTTGGCAAAAATTTATCGGATTGCCACGTTAGAACTTTTTTTGTCAAAATGCTACGTCATCAAACTCGCTGCACTGTGTAGCGAGATTACGTGGCACCATATCAGCAAGTTTAAGGCCACGTAATCTCGCTGCAATGTGGAGCGAGATTACGTGGTAGGGCCCAATTCGCTGCATTGTGCAACGTTTTATGTGGCGCTAGTAATAATTTGATACGTGGATTGAGAGGACCAATAAAAAATAGCACGTATATTAAATTGTCTTTATCATTTTCCCATGGATACTCCATTTGACACTCCAGTGTCTTTATTGTGTATTATATTTTCAAAAAGAAAACAAAAACAAATAAGCATTTATTGGATATTAAATCGTCTTTATCATTTTTCTATGAATACTCCATTTGGGCTCTCCATCGTCTTTATTGTGTATTATAATTTCCAAAAGGAAAATAAAAAATAAATCAATATTTATTGGACATTAAATCGTCTTTATCATTTTTCCAAGGACACTCCATCGTATTTATTGTGTATTATATCTTCCAAAAAGAAAACAAAAAATAAATCAGCATTTATTGGACATTAAATCATCTTTATCGTTTTTTCATGGGCAGTCCATTGTCTTTATTGTGTATTATATTTTCCAAAAAGAAAACAAAAAACAAATAAGCATTTATTGGACATTAATTCGTCTTTATCATTTTTCCATGGACACTCATCGTCTTTAAACTTGTTGACATGGTGCCACGTAATCTCACTGTATAGTGTAATGAGTTTGGTGACGTGATATTTTGACAATTTGTTTTCCTGACGTGACAATCCGATAAATTTTTGCCAATGACAAAATAGTTGTTATCCCAGTCATATCACATGAAAAACAGTGCTATCTTTTGCAAATTTATTTAAAATTCAATTAATTGAATATGTTTGTGTATTTTATGTAGTGGAGAAAAGTTATTTACACATAAAAGCAAAAACAAAACAAAATCCCACACATTTATTTAAGTTGGCTGACCTAGCAAGAAAGCGAGCAAAACATTCAACCAAAATTATAAATAGATGAGCTTGAGCAGTGGGCTAGCTGTTTGTGCAACTAACCCCATTCCTGTAAAGGAAAAAAAAGTTTACTTACACATAAAAAAGCAAAAATGGCACCTATAAAAACTTTTTTTTTTTTTTTTTTTAAATTTTAAAGCAAGCGTTGTTAACTCATGAAGAGGGAGAGAGGAAATCATTCACACAATGGTTATGTTATTGAAAGATAAGAATGTTTAAATGAACTCCTCTTTCATTGGCTATGTCAATTTCAAAAATAATAAAAAGGTTGAATTTCAAAAAACAATTGGATGCATCACAAAACCAAGCAGTTACAGCTAATCAAATTGGATCAACATCTCTAACACAAAACCATAAAAAAAATGGTGTGTAGTTTCTGTGGTTGGTTATGTGGGGAAGGGAAAGAACAAAGGGACTTGATTTAATAAGGAAAAAGTTACAAAATAGGGCCCAACCGGGTTCGAACCGGTGACCTCTTGATCTGCAGTCAAATGCTCTACCACTGAGCTATGGACCCACTTTGATACAAACTAAATTTAAAATATAAATAAAATAGTAATCATAATTTTGTACAGGGCTTAAAATATGTGGCTAATAATACATAGATGTTATAATAACTCTCAAGATACATATCATATTCACGCATATACGATTCAGATTGACATATATATCACGAATATGTATGATTCAGAAGAATTCGCGTATGGTTTTTAAGTATAAATACAGGGATTAAAAATTCTCAATCATGCATAGCTTATTATAATTGATAAAAAAAATACTATTGAAACTTTTGACATTGAATCTTTGACTGATTAGTAGAAACATACAAGATTTTTAAGTTTGAAAAACGTTCAAATAGGGGTGTTCAAAATATTTGAAACATCCAAACTGATCTGTAACCGAATCGGTCCGTTAGTAAAAAATCGGTTTTTCTAAAAACGGTTTTTATGTTAAACTATTTTTTATTTTTTAAAAGAATTCAGTTTACCGATTCGTAAAAGCAAATTGGATATCCATATTTTATCCTATTGAACCGTTTTTGTTTGATTTCAAGTTTTTATTCTTTTTTGATTTAGAATCAGAAGTAGCAATAGCTCACTGTAATTCCCAATTAAGTCCTCTCATGGAAGATAAGAGACCTTGATAAAGCTGTCTATAGGGTTGGCTTGGAACACCGAGGATGCTTCAACCATATGATCCTAGAAAAGGCCTTATTAGTTATGAAAGGTAGAATTTGATTCAAGAGCTGAAAGCTCATATGACATAGCAGCCTGCCATTCCGTTAGTTGGGAAGTTTGGGAATAAGTGGCAGGCTCGAAAATGGAAGAAATTGAATTAACAAAGGCATAATGGGAGGGAGAAAGTCGGGTATAAGAAATAAATTGGGATAAGGGATGAGTTGTGGAAGAGGAACACAGATAGTCAGAAAGATGGGAAGGAGGATGCCTAACCCGTGAAGGTCTTGTGGAAATAGAAGAGGGTGAGGGATCTGTAATAGGAGTGAAGGCGGGGTAAGTGGAAAAATTAAGTGTTAAAAGAAGAGGGTGTATGGTTGAGAGTAAAGAGAAAAATGTGCTCATAAAAAACAACATCACGAGAGATGAATATTTTATTTGAAGCCAAATCCAAGAGTTTATAACCCTCGTAACCTGCAGGGTAACAAAGAAAAACAGCAGGCAGAGCACGTGGTGAAAATTTGTGTCGAGTCTTTGGAAGTGTGGAACTATAGCATAGGCATCCAAAGGCTCGTAGATGAGTATAGGAAGGTGGTTTATGACACAACAACTCAAAAGGAGTTTTGAAATCAAGAAGGGGAGATGGGGTTCGGTTAATATGGTAGACTGCTGTAAGAACACAGTCTTGCCAATATTGAAGAGGGATTTTGGACTGAAAATGGAGGGCACGGACTGCATTGAGTAGGTGCTGGTGTTTCCTTTCTACCACAGAGTTCTGCCGGGGACGGTCAACACAGGAGTGAAAGATTTGAATACCGTTAGCAGAAAAAAGAGAGGACAAATTGAACTCAGGAGCATTGTCACATCTAAGAGATTTAATGGAAACTTTATACTTAGTAAAAATCAAATTATAAAAAACAGGAAAAACAACAGAAAAATCAGACTTATTATGCAGGAAATAGGTCCAAGTGAACCTGGTTGAATCATCAACCAAGGTTAGAAAATAACGAGATCCTTCCACAGAAACAGTACTGAAAGGTCCCCAAATATCACAATGGACCAAATCAAAAGAAGATGCACTAAGTTGGGGATTTAAAATAAAAGGGAGGCGTTTTTGTTTTGCCAAAGGACAAATAGTACACAAATGATCAGTATGTAAAGTATCAGAAAAACCCAAAACATGTTTCATGGAATTTAAAACAGAATGGGAAAGATGTCCCAAACGAGAACGCCAGAGAATAGCATTGTTTACAGAAATGGATGATTGTTTCGAATTTAATAATATTATTTTTTTAATTAAAAAATTATCAAAATAAATTATGTTGTATTGCATGTACAAATATGTGTAACTTGATGAAGACAAATTTGTATGTTCAATGACATTTGTATAACTATACGAAAAGCTATTTCTGACCAAATATCGTTCTAAGTGCAGTGCTTTGGAGTATATGGTACATTTTGATTTCAGGTTTGCAAGCAATCAATTTAACTCCATTACTTTTGTAATGAACCTTGGGATACATCGTCCCAAAAGCTAGCTCTAAGGGTGGGAGTGCCCAAGGCCTTATAAACTCCACATTTGTTGCTCATACAACCAATGTGGGACTATATATCTCAACACGTCCCCTCACACGAGAGCACACGAGAGCCCATTGGGCTTGAAGAGTGGACAATGCAACATGCCCAAACTACTTGTGCTAAAAAACTCCACAAGAGAAAGTGGGGGACGGCGAGGCTCTGATACCATGTAATGAACCTTGGGATACATCACCCCAAAAGCTAGCTCTAAGGGTGGGAGTGCCCAAGGCCTTATAAACTCCACATTTGTTGCTCATACAACCAATGTGGGACTATATATCTCAACAACTTTCAACAAAGTGAAATTAACTTTTAACTCTATACTACATTCTTACCCTCACCCCAACATGGTATGCCTCGTTTCACAGCTCCTATTCTGGTATCCCCATGATTTACAGTTAACACAGAGTTGAAGAATGATGAATCAAGTTCCTGAGAGTGCAGCAATAAGCTCCCATAAGACTGGCTTCCATTTCCATTCCCAAAGTTGTTCTTCTCTGTAGAATTGGACTGTTCTCTTGGTTTTACTTTGCAGAACTTGCATTCTTAGGTGCCTTCTGAAAAGCAAATTTGATCAACCCACTAGCTGAATTAACTTCATGTTGTTTTTGCTTCAACACCTCCAACTGCTGAATGACAGCTCAAACTAGGCAATGCAAAATGAGGAATCTTCTTACCTTGTACATGGCATACATGGATAGCCATTCCAGGTTTACAAAAATTATACATCATAACAATGTTTTTAAATTCTAGTATACATGATTATACAGCTTGGTGATTCTTATAGGCTTCTTTTGCACTTCTAATTGGAAAGAGAGAAAATTTGATTGCACACCTTCTCCTTTAATTCCTTGTTCTGTTGGTCCATATATATTATAACAAATTCTTATCAGGTCTCTCTGTTTGTAAGCTGTTTGGTGATAGATGTATCCATGCTAATTGTGGTTGGGCTTTGTCACTTGCCAGAAAGGCATGGACCTTGTTTATGAGCTCCAACCCAGCTATATCCAGGACTTTTCTTCAACCCATGGTCAATCATATTTGATCTTGTTCTTCTGGCGTCAGTCCACCTTCCACATTGAGCATATATATCTGACAAAACTACATAATGAGCTGCATTTCTTGGTTCAAGTTTAAGGAGGTGATGGAGGGAAACCTCTCCTAACTTCACATTGGAATGAATTTTACATGCTCCCAGGAGGGCGCCCCAAACTTGAGCATCAGGTTCTGCTGGCATTTTATTAATTAAATTTAAAACTTCATCAAATAAACCAGCACGGCCAAAAAGATCAACCATGCAAGCATAGTGTTCCATATTTGGTTCAAGATGGTGCTTTTCACACATAGACTGGAAAATGTTCCTTCCTTCTTGAATTAAACCAGCATGTCTGCAGGCAGATAATACACTGATATAGGAAACAGAGTCAACATGGACATTAGTCTCTTCCATAAGTGAAAAAAGAGTGAGGGCAAGGTCACCTTGGCCATGCATTGCATAACCTGAAAGCATTGCATTCCATGAGATAGTGTCTTTATTTTCCATCTCATGGAAGCATTTCTCAGAATAACTAAGTTGTCCACATTTAGCATACATATCTATGAGACTGTTTCCGACAAGGGTACTAGATATAAATCCCATTCGGATTATGCAGGCATGAAAAGCCATGACCTCTCTTAATGCTGACATACATGATACAGCTGGAAGGATGGTCACAAATGTGACTAAATTGGGCCTCACACTTTCTAATTTCATCTGGATAAAAGTGGAAATTGCTTCATTGGCACATCCGTTATGCAGATACCCAGCAATCATCACATTCCAACTTGCTTCGTCCTTTGCATGCTTGGTTAAGTGAAACAAGTTTTCCGCTGAAGAAAGGCCCCCACATTTGGCATACATGTCTATTAGAGCCACTTTTACATGAATGCCAGATTCAAACCCACTCTTTTTAATATTCCCATGATAGCAGATTCCCAAATCTAGGTCATCCAGAAGGGCGCAAGCTGAAACCAAACCCACCATGGTTCCTGTATCTGGTTGAATCCCACTTAGTTGTAACCTATGGAACATTTCCAATCCAAGACGTGGGTCACCATATTTGGTAAACCCATTTATCAAAGTATTCCATGCCACAACATCTTTATAGTGCATTCTGTTGAATAGCTTCATAGCATACATAAATAATGCACATCTAGTGTACATTGAGACAAGGGTTGTTACGGTTGAGATATCAGACTCCATATCACCTTTAATAGCATAGCAGTGCACCATCTTACCTAATCTGGGATTTGAAATTTCTGCACATGCGGAAACAAGACTTATAAGAGTCACTTTGTCTGGTTTCAAACCTTCATGCTGCATCTCTTGGAATATAGACAATGCTTCTCCAGGATACCCTGCTTGGACAAGAGCTGACAAAAAAGCAGACCAAGCAACCAAATCCCTTCCTTCAAGACTCAGAAACAATTCTTTAGCTTTACTCAGCTCACCACATTTTGCATACATGCTTATTATAGGGGTAGCAACAACAATATCTGACATTAACCCTAGCTGTAAAGCATAATTATGAACTTCTTTTCCTTTCTCTAGTTCTCTCATCTCTGCAGCAGCCAAAAGGGCATTTACAATTGATACTTTATTCATATTCTTCCGCTTCATTTTATCAAGTAATTGAAGAACCTCAAAAAAACAGCCATACTGTACATATCCAGCCATCATTGTTGCCCATGAGACATCATCCTTAGCCTGCATCTGGTCAAAAATCTGACGAGCAGAATTTACCTCACCACATTTAGAGTACATATCAATCAATGAGTTGGAAACCACACCATAAATACATCTCCTAACCACATAACCATGAATAGACCTGCAAGAATCAACATCCTTTAATTTAGAAACAGCTGGAGCCAGGTTCAAGATGCTCACATAGTCTGGCTCCACACGCTCCATCTGCATGGTCCACAACATTTCCAGTGCTTCATAAGGATTCAAGCTCTGAGATAAGCCTGAAATCATTGCATTCCAAGAAGCAATATCCTTCCTGGGCATTTTATCAAATACCTTTCTTGCACTATCTAAGTGACCCATTTTACAGTACATGTCAATGAGACCAGTCCCAATAAAGACATCACATTCTAACTCTCTGGAAGCTATATCTTGGTGAATGGCAACACCCTCATGGAAATCTAAAGCACCAGTACAAGCCTTCAAAACGAAGGTAAATGTGTACTTGTCTGGTTCAAGTCCCATTTCTAACATTCTATGATAAAGGTTTATTGCTTTCTGGAATTGGTGAAGTCTAGAATAAGCTCTAATCATAGAATTCCATAGAATCAAAGATGGGTTAGTGATAGAATTGAATGTTGATTGAGCCAAGCTACATTGGTGGAAGAAAGAGTACGAATTGATGAGATGGGCAGCGATGGAATGATGATGTTGTTGGAGTCCTGAGACAATCAAACGGGCATGGATTTGAAGCAGAGGGTTCAAGTGTTTGCATGAACGAAGAAGGTGAAGGTAATAGCTGTGGTGGTGGCAATGTTGTGGAATATTGTTGGTGGATGAAGATGAAGTTTGAGAAATTGCAGAGACATGGGCATGGTGAGTGTGGTGGAACCTATGGTTGTGAAGTGAATGTCTCACCTTCATGATGCTTCCCTTTCAAGGCACAATGAAAGTGACGATACGTTAAAAGGATTTGCATTTCTCATTTAGCAGGTAACAAATTTTTCTATACACATAATTTGTGGGTCCATATTTTTTGAAGAAAAAAAGAAAAAAGAAAAATTACAGCACGCAAAACGAATCTCTATAACATTAGAGAATCACTTTTCCTACAACATAACTATTATAAAACCCTATATTAATATATCATTACATGTAAATATAAAACTTTTTTACAATGACAGAGTGTACTTACAATATATATATATATGTTTTATAATATCTTACAATTATATTCTAATTATTAATTTTGTCAATTAATGGTTATCATTTATTGTAAATTAATAATTAATTAATAAATTTAATTTACGAAAAAAATAACCATCGATTAACAGAAATCAACTATTAAAATATGATTCTAAGAGATTATAAATAAAAATAGGTGGTAAGTATAATCTTATTCACAAAATTGTACCAAATTTAAATTCATTAAAACATCTACAAATTATTGTGATTCAGTTAAAGAAAACTGCCAAATTGCCAATAACCGTTGACACAAGTGGAAGGGTTCAAAACCTAGGATAGGACTTGTCTTAATAAATTATTGGGAGAAGTAGCTTTTAAATTACACACAACTTATATCTTTTTACTTTCATAAAAAAGTAAGACCTACATCTTTATATTTTTTTTATTCACTCTCACTCTTCATTTATCTATCTTTTTCTCTTACTTAAAATGATACAACTTCACATCCTTTAAAATGATATACACTTTTTCCAAAATTATTTAATTAAGGCCATGCAGCAGAGAACAAATTTTTAAAAAAGGAAAAGTTCAAAATAAATTTATTTTCTTCAATAGAAATTCACGTCGGATATAACGATTCTCCTTCCAAGGAGCCCAATATATGTGTAGATTACAGCAGTACGAGAAGAGAGTGAGAAGTCACGAAACTATTAAATTAACACTTAGAATCACACTATCAATTTAGTATTAAGATCCTTTAATATGAAAAAGGTGGTCATATTATTCGATGACAACCGCTCATTTAAAAATCATACTTTTTTTTATCTGTTATCTCATTATCAATGAGTAGTTATGATCAAATAACACGATCACATGAGATATTTTTTACACAGAGAAGATTCAGATTCATCAATTCAGTAGGCTCTCAGTCTTTTTGTTTACCAATTGCCAATACAGATGTACTAAATATGCACGAATGACGAAGGGGCTATAATTAATTAGGTGGTGACTTCTCATAGGAAATCATAAATTCATTTTATGGAATCAAGATACACGTACATGCATGTAACTGTGGTAAGTATTAACGTGGGCACATTTAGCTATAGTTTTCATATTTCTCCGGATATAAAAACCAACCCAGGATATTCAATAATGATATGTGTTCCAAAGCCTGAACAAAATTTTCTGTAGAGAAGTCTTCGTTCACTCGAAATAGAATGGCCAAAAACCATGAGGGAGTTGCTGTAGGAATTGACCTAGGCACGACTTACTCATGTGTTGCAGTATGGCAGGAGCAAAATGATCGAGCGGAGATCATACACAATGAACAAGACAACAGAACCACTCCTTCTTGTGTTGCTTTCACCAACACACACAGGTTGATTGGTGACCCTGCTAAAAATCAGGCTGCCACCAACCCATCCAACACTGTCTTCAGTAAATGATCTTCTTTAGTTTGTTAATATCTTTATAATAAACCAATTGGCATAGTTTATATTATATCTCTCTTACACATCCTTCACCCACGAGCCACGAGCCTTTTAAACTTGGAGAATGAATATTGCACGGACTCATTTTATAATTTTTTTTTGGCTCGATAATACTTAGAAATTATTTCAACTCAAAAACTTAAACATATTAATGATGGACATTATTTATCTGCAGAAATTAACACGTAACTATCATTTTTATTTTTTCAGATGCAAAGAGGCTAATTGGAAGGAAATATAGTGATTCCATTATTCAGAATGATATTCAGCTGTGGCCATTCAAGGTGGTTGCTGGTACTGATGACAGACCCATCATCCTTGTTAACTACAAGGATGAGGAAAAGCAACTTGCTGCAGAGGAAATCTCATCTATGATCCTCACAAAGATGAGGGAGATTGCGGAGACGTTTTTGGAGTCACCGGTAAAGAATGCTGTTGTTACTGTGCCTGCTTATTTTAATGACTCTCAGCGTCAAGCTACCAAAGATGCTGGTGCCATTGCTGGCCTCAATGTTATTCGGATAATCAATGAACCAACTGCTGCAGCTCTTGCATATGGCCTTCAGAAGAGAGCTAATATAATTGGAAAGCGAAATGTTTTCATCTTTGATCTCGGTGGTGGGACTTTTGACGTATCTCTTCTCTCGATTAAGGATGATACCTTTGAAGTTAAGGCCACTGCTGGAGACACTCACCTAGGAGGAGAGGATTTTGATAACAGAATGGTGAACCATTTTGTACAGGAATTTAGTAGGAAGAAGAAAGTGGACATTAGTGGAAACCCAAAAGCCCTTAGGAGGTTGAGAACTACTATTCCTGTGAAGAAGACACGAGAATATGTAACAGTTGAAGATAACCAATCCAAGGTATTGATTCAGGTTTACGAGGGAGAGAGGACAAGAGCCAGTGACAACAATTTGTTGGGTTCTTTTCGTCTTTATGGCTTTCCTCCTGCTCCTCGTGGGTCGTGGCTATCCTTTCGATGTATGTTTTACTATAGACGAAAATGGTATCCTAACTGTTTCTGCTAAAGAAAGAAAAACTGGGAACACGAGAGAGATTACTATAACAAATCAAAAAGGAAGACTTTCAACTGAAGAAGTCGAGAGAATGTTGATGGAAGCGTAGATTTACAAGGCTGAAGATATTAAGTTTAAGAATAAGGTTAAAGCAATGAATGCTTTGGATGAATATGTTTACATGATGGAGAAAAAATTGGAGGATTCCTTTGTTAGTGCCAAGATTTTACCTCAAGACAAACAGAAAGTTGGTGCTGCAATTAGAGTTCCTTGATTATATATGTTCATTAAAATATGCTATAATTGGGGTTATGACCCCCCCCCCCCCCCCCAATTTATATTACCACCAAGTACATAAATCAATTGGAATGTAGTAGTTGTCACTCTAGGCTCTGGGATCATACTATCTTGCAATTCCATTAACTATTTTATTTGCTTTTGCACTGCATACTGGTTGGAAGGTAAAAGAAAATCATAGTTTAGCAGCACAGTGCTGTGAGGTATTATCTCATTTTTATAAAAATTGCAGTCTTCTGATACAATTGTATACCTTTTAATCTCTATCTTGGGATGGTATGTGCACTCATTTAGCTCATTCTTCCTTTTATTTTCGGGATGATGCATGAGATGAAAATGTGCATATATTTTTCTGGAATTCTGCTGCTTATTTAGGAAAACAATAAAGACAGTCTATAATTCACTGACACCAGAGGGCATAGTCTCATGAAGCTACAAATATCTTGCGGGTTAAAAGTTTGTCTTTTTAAGTAAGTGTATGCCCTTTTAGCAATTTATAGGTATGTGTATTAAGACTAGTATATAGTTATAATATTAAAATTGTACCTTTTTCACTTTTCTTGTCAGCAAATAGTCTCAGAGAGAGAAAAAATACAACTTTAATATAGTTACCAGAAGGATATAAGTTACTTCTTTTAAAAGAATAGATAATCTTCCCATATCTTGCTGCTACATATTCTGATTAAGTTCTTTTTCGATTAAAGCCTGTTAAGAATTGTCACCATCCTTTTGGTAAAAAAATGCCAGAGAAATTAGATCTTGGAATGTAGGTGCAAATTTATTTGGCCAAAAGGATAATCTGATCATGGTAATGTAAGTATAGTAGATAAATTATGCAACCAGCCTCTGTCTGTATCATGGTGGAACTAAAGAATCGAACTATTTTTCAAAATACTGTTCGGGGTAATCTTTCCTCTCATAACGTGTGCAGATATAACATTTCATGTCTTATGTATTAAGATTGTTAATTGAAAAATTATATTTTAAAAGTAAATTTTAGTTTCATTGAAATTGTTTTTTAAGTGTTCGTGACTAACAAGGTAAAAACGACTTGAATCTTAAACTTGGATAGGTGGGATGGGTCAGGCCCATACTTCAGTGCAACTAATATTGTCATCAAATTGTTACAATTAGGGGTGAAACTGGACCGGGCCGGCCTATAGGGGCCTACGTCAGGCCAGAACTGGCCTAGTATATTTCGTAAAATAGGTCAGACTTGGGCCTTGAAAAAGTTTGTTTAATAAAAAGACCGTAGACTCACTTTCCCAAGGCCTGGCCTATAAGCCTACATGCCGGCTTATATTGTACTATTTATTTTAAATAAAATAAAATAAATTTGACTTGAAGAAAAAACAAAAGATATAAATTTAATCAATTGCAATTATTTATAATTTAATTATATTCGATTATATTTTAATAGAAATCTGACTTTATTTCTTATGTAGGAGGAACCAATATTTCAGCATGTTAGATTATGCATATGAATATATTAAAAGATTTTTGAGAGATATTATACTTACTATGAGCATCATGATGTGTTTGTTCAATTCATGTGGTTATTTTAATTTACATAGTATGGATTTGTTTGTTAGATATGATGAAATATATGTTATTTAGTTGAACATTTTGCTTTTGAAATTGACTTAAATGCAGTTTGTATGAGTTTTGTTGTGATTCATGATTCTATTTGGATGTTGAAATTATGATTTTTGGTTTAGCAACAGAATTTGAGCATTTTATAAAGTTGATTCATAGTTCTGCTTGGAAGTTAAAATTAACAGGTTAACGGGCTAGGCCAGGTCATTTATTTTTTTATAAACGGGTCAAGTCAAGCTAACAGTTAGACTCGTACTAGGTTTGGGTCAGGCCAAATTAAAATTTTGTGATGTAGGCTTGAGCTTTTTGGGGCAAAGCTTGGCCCAACCCAACCCACTTTCATCCCTAATTACAATGAATGAAGGCTTTATTTTAATTTTTTTTTCATTTTTTGATTCATATTACATTTATCAATATATAAGAAAAGATTTCCTCTTGCTAATAACTTATAGAATCATTCACATTTATAATCATTCATTCCAACTCATTTTTTATAATTAAGTTTGACCATGAGAGTTTAATTTAACCTTCCATAATTAAGTGACAACGAGACAATCAAATTAAGAAAGGAAAAAAAATTATACAATCACAGTCAATCATTCTTATAATCAAGTTTAATTTCTCAAGATTAAATCTGACCATAAGACAATCAAACTATTTTAAATGACTAATAAGTTCTTAGTCTCTCCTCGAATTTCTAAGTTAGTTTTAAGTGTGAGGGAGCTCGAAATAGGGAGTAATTAAAGGTAAGAATGAGAGAGCGCTATTGTTATTATTAGTGGTAAGAAAGGAAACAAAGTTTAATTTCATAATTAAATTTGATTTCCAAATTTGATGGGACAATTTAATTTGTATTTTCAAATTAAAAATAATATCTTAAAATAAAAAGATTTATTTTTATAAACAACAACGTTGTCTTTGTTTGAAATATGATGTAAAAAATTTCATAATGATAAAAAGAAAGTAGCTAGATTTCGAGGTTTGGTACTATCATGCAATGAAATCATCCGTAATATATATATATATATATATATATATATATATATATATATATATATTGTCTTGGACAAGAACATTCCTGTGGAGTTTGGACTATAACAAGCCCTAACCATCTCCTTGATAATCTTACGTAGCGGACACAGCATCTAGTTGTTGCTTGCTAAGTGCTAACAGAAGCCCCCATCGGTAAGAACGGTTTCTTCTTTGTTAATTTTAACTTCGTTCATTATTTTCATTCATGTTTTCTCATGATAAGTAGTGTTTTCTTTTTTGTAATGAAAAAAAATTGAAATATTGAAGAGATGTCGAACGGCATGGGATTTCAGGAGCAGCATTCGAACCACAACGCGAACAACGCAGCAACGATGATGCGCGGGAATGTCTCCATGACCCAAAAACAAATCGAGACTCTGAGGATACAAATTGCTGCTTACGAAACCCTCTCTGAACAACTCGCTGAGAAGTACAGGGCACACCGTGCCGCTCGCCAAGCTCCTCCTCAGGGTCATTCCCTATTTTCTTCCATTCATCTTTTTTCACAATTTTATTTTTTTATCACTTATTATTCACCGTAATAAATTTTTTTGTTATAGTAAGTTACCCATTCTAACCGTTTACATTCTAACCGTGTAACTGTAAACGGTTAGAATGTGTTAGGGTTGTTTTTGTTAAGAGTTTGTTACACTGGTCTGAGGCAGTTGTAACAAATATACTGAAACAAATGGGTGTGGTGTTTTCAGTGACGTCAGAGGTGGTTAAGCCGGTAAATATGTATGGAGGAGACACATCAAAGGGAATATTTAACATGAAGCCGAGGTGGACTCCAACAACTGAGCAGCTTCAGATCATGGAGAAAATATTTAAGCAGGTGACACCGAATCCAGACAGGAAAAGGATAAACGAGATTACTGCGGAACTCGCCAATCATGGAAATATTTCGGAGAAAAATGTCTGTAATTGGTTCCAGAATAAGCGTGCTCGGTCCAAGAAAAAACAGCCCATTGCGGTTATTGCAAATAATGTTAACACTAATGGCCAGTTGACATCAGGAGATAACCGCTATCAAATGAAATAAAAGGGGAAATGCGCATTTACTCTCCATTTCGATTTTTTTCTCATTCCTTGAAAGTTGAAATCATAGAGGAACAAGATTTTTAATGATAATTCTTCTGTGTATTTCCTCACTTTTTTGAAATTCGAATTCTGAATTGATTTCAAATTTTGGATTTCAATTTTAAATTTCAAATTGTAATGTTGGGAAAGGATTTGAAAATAAAAAATTAAATAAATAATAATTTCTTTTAAAAATCGAAATAAAAATCAATAGAAAACTAAGTTAGTCATTTATGGTGACAGACAACTCATTCAATGTCCCACTTATTTGTACATTGGAATTACTCAGCTCTTTTAAATGCTTTCTATATTGGAATTGCTCACTCTTTTGAAATTCGAATAATACTATTTGGACTTATTTATTGCGTTTCTCATTCAATAGTTGGATCAATCGCTTAACATTACAGCTGTAAACTTTTTCTATTTAGTATTTACTCTTATTAGCCGAAACGCAATAATTCGATCTGACTTTGATCCTATCATAATGAATTTTTTAATATAATCCAGAATTACCATGGTTCTTTCACTAAAACATTAATATCTTGACCAATTTTTTTTTTACTTCTCTCTTCTGTCCTCAACTTTTTTTCTCTTTCTCTCACTTTAATCCCACCAAAATATTTTCTTACCTAACCTTTTTTAATCCTACCCTAAGCCTTGTCAATGCAAGATATTGGCCTTTTTGTGCCAGTCTCAACTCCATAATAAACAAAGGGAAAGAAATCATTCCTTATGTCTTATTCCTATGATAAATGTGGATCATTAGAAATAATAAATTCTTTGAAATTTGGATTGAGAAGTACAAAAAAAATACTTAAGGAATCCATAAAAATGCAGCCTAATACAAAAAGGCAAAGAAAATCAACCACCGAACAATACTATTTTTATTTTTTAAAAATTAGGGTCATCATGGCTGCCCCTTGTCCTCCTTAATTAGTGTCCAGGTATACCTTTATAAGCTTCATCAATATGTATAGTTTTATCATTAATTAGACTTACAATTTCCAAGATGCATTGTAAGTAATTGAGTTTTTCCCAATATTATTTAGGAAAAAGTTCACCAATGTTTCTGTGGTTTACTCCAAAATCACTTATGCCTCTGTGGTTTTTTTCTCATCTCATATGCTCCTGTGGTTTGTAAAAAGGTATGTTTTTTTATCACATATACCCCTATGGTTTCTTATTTTTTACAAAGCACAGTGGCATATGTGATAGAAAAAAACCACAAGGGCATAAATGATTCTGAAGCAAACCACAAGGGCATTGATGAACTTTTTCCTATTATTTAATAAATTGACTATATTAGTGATTATATAAGATATTAATTTCATCAAATGATATGGTTATTGGGTATGGTTCATACTTCGCATGCTGATGAAGGCCCTAATTATCGGGGTCAGCAGGAAAGCCAACTAGGGTCCCGCTCCCAGGTGAGCGGACGAGGGTCCGGGGGAGCCGCTCCGGCTGGGTCCGGGGGACAGTGCCCCCAGGCCCGTAGAGGCTAGGTACTATTGTGAGCCTCTGTTTTATTGTAATTTTCTTAGCAGTTTGGGCTTGGGCCCATAAATAGCTGCTGTTAGGGTTTTTTAATCCTATTTATATTTTCCTTGTAAACCGAGTGACTTGTAACGAGTGGAGGTGAGGAGAATATAGTACAGACAAGCTGGACGTAGCCTTAATTGGGTGAACCAGGGTAAATCATCGTGTCAATCTCTCTACTCTTATCTCTTTTTCTGTTTTCTCGATTTTGTGTGATTGTCGATTTTCAACAATGGTAATATATCATATTACATATAAATATAATTTTTCTAACAATTATCAAACGATATTGCATCCCATTTTATGATAAAAAATAAAATAAAGTAAGAATAATTGTAATTTTGAAATTGTTAGTACTAAAGATATCTCCAAGTTACAATATCAACCATACATACTAATCCTTATCGTTAACAATGAACAAGACATATGTGGTTGTTAGATGAAAATGAGTAAATTAAAACATACATAATTGTCCGTCTGTAAACTTGTATAGACTAGTGTAGAAACTCTGCAGTTTCCTGAGAAAGAACGACCTGTCGACCTTGTAGAGTACGTGATAGCTAGGTCGTCCCATCACTTAGTGCCAAAAAAACCTTGACTAGCCAGTTTTGAAAGTGTCAACAGTAAATATCCATTGTTCAATTCATCATATGGCTGGCACATTATATTGGGCAAGCAAACTAAAAATTCCAACAAGATGTGTACCACAAAAAAGAAATGAAAATTCTAACAAGACTTTTTAAGAGTGCCCTCATCATCTGTCATGAAGCAGAAGCTACACAATTACTTGTTACGACTTACGAGGTATATATATATATATATATACATGAGAGGGGATATTTTGACTACCAAAAATGTTCACTACCACCTTACTACCTGTCAAATCACCATTGGATCAAAGAGAGAGAATGTTAAAAAGTTTTTGAAGAGAGAGAAAATGTTAATCCAATGATGATTAGATAGGTAGTAAGATAGCAGTGAAAATTTTTGGTAGTCAAAATATCTTCCCTCTCTCTCTATATATATATATATATATATATATATATATAGGGTTTTATAAGAGTTATGTGATAGGAAAAGTGATTGTGTAATGTTATAGAGATTCGTTTTGCGTGCCTTAATTTTTATTTATTTTTTTATTTTAAAAAGTGTGGGCCCCACAAAATTTTGTGAGTGTAGAAAAGTTTGTTATGTTATGTTAAAGGATAAAATGAAAACCCATATATATATCTTAGGTTTAAGTAAATAATATTTAAAAGAAATTATTTTAGGCGAAATAATAGCTGAAAGTTTTCATATCATTATGCAATAATGATTATTTACCCTACATAAGAAAATTAATAATAAGGAGCATAAAGAAAAGATATTTATTTTAAGGAATAAAAAAGTCAATATTTTTTTGGATAATCAGGTAATATAATTTAAAAGAACCAAAGAAAATTTATAGAAATGGAAAAATCATTTAATTCATTATAAAAAATTTATTTAACTTTCCATATTTTATCTCTCATTTTGTCTATTTATGTAGCTTCCTGGTTGTAACTTGAGTTCTTAATTTCCAAGCTTGACTCTCCTTCGTTAGTGCAAGTTTCTTGCTTTTCCAAACTTCATTGAATTGCAAGAGAGAATGGCAACAAAAGGTGAGGAACTAGCTATAGGAATCGATCTAGGAACGACCTACTCGTGCGTTGCAGTGTGGCTGAACAATCGGGTGGAGATCATTGTTAACGATCAAGGAAATAGAACAACACCCTCTTATGTTTCCTTCACTGACACCCATAGGATGATTGGTGATGCGTCTAAGGATCATGCTGCTACTAACCCAACCGACACTGTCTTCGGTAAAACTTAATTTATTTTGCTCATGCAACTTCTATTTATCATTTTGTGTTGGAAATATTCACATATATGTGAGTGGTATGAAATCTCATATTAATTAAACATAAATCTACCAAATAATGGTAGCTCAGTTGATGCTAGAGAACTGAGCAGGCGTGGGTGAGAGTATGTGTTCGATCCTCCTCAATACCGTCTTTGAAAGGAATTTAAAGTCTTAATTCCGGAACCCGTCCCGAATCAAACTAGTCGTGAAACGATGAACCGATTGAAATATCTCTGAAAAAATTAAACATAAATCTAATACGGGTCATATAAGTCTAAAAAGATTCATTTATATAGAATATTATAGTTTTAAGTTGAATGTAGTTTCAGTTCAATTTTGTCATTTAATCCCTTTATGAAGGTATCCTCCTCTGCAAAAGATTTAGGAATCCCCTATTCCCTTTATATAAAATATTCAGTATCATGACATGTTAATTACTAGAAGATGGAAAATCACACTTTCTCTATTGATTTTCATATTGAGAGTATTGAAAATTCAAGTGTCAGTAGGTTCACTTATATTATGAGTTACTGCTTCTCTATTGATGTATGGCTGTTAGTTTCCTTTTTCAGGGCTCCCCTAACCAAGTAAAGGTGGTATTAGAGCCAATATAATTGATTTGCATGTGTCAACCAGATAATTGATTGAGTCAAGAATTTGAAAATGGGGGTTGCTATTCCGATTTATAGGTTGCATCAAACTCATGTTATGGAATTAAGACTTACCCACTCTTGATTAGTAATTCCATGAATACTCCAATTCATAATTTGAGAGACATTTTTTTGAGAATTCAAGTATAAAAAATAAAGTAATATATTGGAAATAAATGGATTAAATAAGGGAAAATAAATCTTGATGTTATAAGAAAATCTTAATCTCATGTCATAGGTATATTAAGTGTGAGACCCATCTATTTAAAAAAAAAATTGAAAAAAAAAAAAAGAGTGACACACATTTTTCTGGTGTATAGGATTAAATAAATAAACACAGTATAAAGGATTAAATAAAACGATTGAGAAACCTAAGCCTTAAGGTTATTGGTACTCATTAAAGTTTGCCCGTTATTATATCATACATGATGGATATATTGTCATTTGTTTCTATTTATTTTTTTAGCCTGATGAATGGAACTCATTATTTCGCAGATGCAAAACGGTTAATTGGTAGGAGATTTAGCGACCCCACGGTTGGTTCAGAGTGATACGAAGCTATGGAATAAATCTTTGATACTACTGCTGTATCAAAGATTCAGTTCATCCCACTATAACAAAAATATTACATGTCAGCTAATTTTATTTTATTTTGTCTGTCAAATTTTTTCTCTCTCCTCTGATGTGTATTACTCTCGTTGATAAGATGCACTGAATCTTGGTAGAGCAGCGTATACTAAAGATTTATTCGAAGCTATGGCCATTCAAAGTTATTGCTGGTGTTAATGACAAGCCTATGATTGTTGTTAGTTACAATGGCGAGGAAAAGCATTTTTCTGCTGAGGAAATCTCATCCATGGTGTTGGCAAAGTTGCGTGAGATTGCGGAGGC